GACCCGTGCGTGGGTGCGAGCGAGCCGGTGGCACCGTCCTCATTAAACGCGGCCTGCGCCCGGTCCCGCACTGCTGCGTGTGCTGCTCTCGTCTCTCACTGCGCTTGCGGCCATGGATTCCATTCGCTCGGCACCTCATAGCCCCTGCGCTTTAGGGTTGGAAGGAACAGTCGTCTTCATGGGCAGTTTCGCTGCTGCTTATGATAAGCGGCAACCCGGCACCCCCCAGTAATCCACAGACACAGGGGGCGGCCTGCGCCCGGTCCCGCACTGCTGCGTGTGCTGCTCTCGTCTCTCACTGCGCTTGCGGCCATGGATTCCATTCGCTCGGCACCTCATAGCCCCTGCGCTTTAGGGTTGGAAGGAACAGTCGTCTTCATGGGCAGTTTCGCTGCTGCTTATGATAAGCGGCAACCCGGCACCCCCCAGTAATCCACAGACACAGGGGGTAGTTCACAGTAGCATGTAATTAAGTGTACGTAAAGTTTTGGTACAGAAGTATATTGGAGTTGCTAGTGCAAATGTTATCCTTCACAGTTGCTCTGTGCACACTCTATAAATAAATGTCATTTTCATGGATACTCAGCCCTGCCATCCACCCAAGTCAGTACCGTACAGATCAGACACTTCACTCTGAACACCAGTGTTGCAGGGAAATGCAGGCAACCGAACGAGCAGCAGCGTCTGCTTAACCCTGCTGACACCCGTGACACTGTTAGCATCCTGCCCAGCTGAACAAAAGGGAAACAAGGTTCCATGTGTCCCTGCCAGGAACTGAAAGCAAAACTTAGCCCCTCCTGCTACACCAACACCTCTTTGCTGGAGAGGGGCTCCTGCAGCCTGAGCAGCCGGTTCAGACAAAAGGCTCCAAAGTCATGTGCCACATCAGAGAACCTTCTATAACCTGAGCTGCTCCATCTGGTTCTTCGAATTGGTCACTGCTTCACCAGAACCTTGTTTAAGGTACACACTTACTTTTCCAATATAAGGTACTTACGTATTTAAAAAACTTTACTGAAAAGCCAGCTTCTAGCAAAATACAAGGTTATATAAAAGGTAGGTTTGATAAACTTTGCCCCATTTGTGACAGCTGTAATCTTTGGGAGAAAAAAGATAGTCAAGGTTTGAATTCCCTCAGCAGTGTCCTTGGACAGACTCATTCTGCCAGAATTGGCACTTGTTACCCATTAACAGATACTTTCTCTATACTTGCACTGTTTTTGCATTGCTTAGTATAAATATGTATCACCAAAGGAAACAGATTTTCAGGGCTAAGAAGTTACCTAAAGAAGATGGTGACTTGCAGAGAGTCCTGGACAGTACTGCCCTGAAATGACCACTTTTACTGCTGTGCATGAAATTAAAAAGCTGAAGAAGGAAAGAAGCTTAAGGATGACTGTTTTAGAAAAAGCAATAGCTGTGGAAATTCCATTAAACAGGGGATAAAGTAGGGAAATGTTCTAGGGAATATGGGTGGGGGCTGAAGCCCTTGAAGACTGCAGTCAGGAAAGAGCCTAGGTTGGCTAATAAGAGGTTGTTTTGTCCAGTTGAAGCTTTAGTTTCAGAAGAACCTGATCAGCTTTATGCATTACCATGGGGTATGGGGTTTCCTTGGCCCAATGGGACATGTGCTGTTTGCCACGTGTTTCACCATCTAAAAGTCATTTAAATAGACTTTGACAGTTGAAAAAAAAGTGCCAATAGCAGCAAATTGAACCACAAAACAAAGAATGGGGAACCAGGAGCATCTCCGTGCAGATACTCTCAGCGCTGTGTTGCTTTTCAGCGCACTAATCCCCTCTCCACCCTCTGTCAGCCCCAGGAACATCTGTCCCTGCCTCGCTTCAAAATCTTCCTCTGCCTGGCGACACCTTTTCTGTGCTCTGGGCCAATTATGAGTGGAAAACCTGGGGAGCAGATGAGGTAGCTGGGACCCAGACACGGCTAAAATGGATTCTCCGTTCAAGGTTGTGGCAGCTTCATCCTCCCTCCTCTAGTCCGGCCATTCCCAAGAGAACTGAGCAGAGCAACTTGTGGCAGCCGCTTTAAGGGCCTTTCCTGAAGGAAATTCCTGGTAATCCAGGTAATTCCTGGACTATGCACTTCGTCTAGACCTCTGCGTACACAAACACAGCGATGCCCCTGAAACACGCCTGGGCAGTACAGGCATCGCAGGACAGGGAGCCCCTTTTCCCTGGGCTGAAACACGGCATTTCCCTGCGCTCCCTGGCACAGTCCCAGAGCTTTACAGATAATCTTGCAAATAAAACAGGCGAGAGCCGGGAGCTGGGGTTGCAAGCGAGTGGAGCAGGAGACAGGTCCGCTCTGGCCTCCTCAGAACCTTCACATTGCTGCCCTCTTGCACGCAGAAGCAAGCACAGTCACAGGATAATGCTGGTTATGGACATAGGTACAGATGTATCTATAAATACATATAAAAACATTCACTTGGTGTCTTCCTTTTCCTTTTATAAAATCCTTTTATAAATCCATAGTGATAACAGCTGTTACAAGCTCACGATATCAGAGAACATCCAAGGGCAAGAGGAGCTTCTCTGAAGGACATTTTGTCTTCTCTGGGAATTCTGAGAATACAGTAGATCTGATCTGTGGTGTCTCCACCTCCCAAGTCCTAGTGTGATTCCACACCTGTGTCATTTTCCTGGAACACATTTCCAGCCAGCAAACCCTCTGCTGGGGCTAGAGTCCACCCAGCTGCTCTGGGCTCTGATTCCCATTATGGGTAGGGCTATTCAATGATTTCCTCGAAGTGGACCTGAGGAAACAAACAGAGATACAGTAGAGGCAAGTGGATTATCCTCCTGTCAGGAGGCAGCGTGGGGAAGAGCCGCCCAGCCAGGCTGCTCACAGCTGGCCACGAAGGCGGTCGTACTCCACATGCTGCCGCGCGACGTCCCAGCTCTGTGAGCCCCTGGAGCCGCCCCAACTCCATCTGCAGTCACTATGGACCGAGAATGGGAGGCCTTTGATGGAGCCACCATGATACAGCAGCTTCCCTGGCTGCCTTGCTAACTACGGCAGTGATGAGGGACAGAGGGAAAACTTGGCTAAGCTCATTTGGAGGAATATAAATTCCTGGAACTGAACAGCCTTTATGCGTCATTAATGTTAACTGCAGTTCCAGTATCTCCGATTTCTATTAGTCATAACAATAAAACTATTACATTTATACACAAAAACTAAGTCCCACTTACTTTACTTCCTCATACTTTTTGCCTCGGTAAAAGTTACTCTTTTTAATGAGGTACAGCAGCACCAGGTCACAGAAAAAAGCTCCCTGCAAAACAGTAGAGAGAAGTTATCAGGAACTGCAGTTGTGGGGCACACTAACAAATACCTTGGACAGGACAGAAACTGAGCAATGAGAGGACTAGGAAACTCCCCTGGAAAGGGAGTAACAAACTATCCCATTTCATACTTGTAACACCCAAATGTCAGTTCTGGCTCCCAGTACGTTACTGTAAGAAAGTACATTAACTTACCGCTCCCATGAGAGCGAGCCCTGAACCAATATTGATAATGGTGGGAATGATGTTAAATTTACCTGCCTGAAAGAAAAACAGATCATGAAGCATTTAGTGGAAGAACAACCCCAAAAGAAGTTTAAAGATAAGGAGGAGTTATGCAGGGGAAACTACTTGGGCCTGGGGGTGTTTTGTTGGCAAGAAATGGCTGTAGAAAGGTCAGCGCTGGAATATTTTTGAGGCTAAAGGTCTGTGTTTGTCTCAGATCCAACTGCCTGTGGCTGTAGTTCTGCCCTTGTGTCATTCCTGGATTACACTTCTTTTTCTACAGAGAATATGCATGGAAGAGTCTCAGGAGCATCTTTACCTCCGCTGGACTTTACATGAGCCTGTTTTTAGGTATATGAGGTCCAAACTGCTGCTCTAGCCCATCCACACTCTAGGTCATCTTCTTCCTTATGTGGAGTTAGCTCTGCACAAGTGAATGGCAAGAGACCTTCCCCACAACAAGCTGTTCTCATGCCAGGGCTGCCTTTCCACGGAGCAATGAACTTCTTCCTCACCAGGCTCAGGAATCTCCCAGCCCGCGAGCTCACCTTGCCATTCACCATCACGTCAAAGCGGATTCCATAGGCTTTAATGAGCGTCCGGTAGTCAACCCCATTAGCATCCTGGTAGTACTTGGCAAACCTGGAATTCAACGACGTTGATTTTAACTCCATTGCCTGCTCCGTGTGCACATGAACACACTTGAAGTTGCGGCACTGTTCAGACAGATCTATCCCCTGCCAGAGGCAGCGTTAGCTTACAAGCTTGGTCCCAACATCAAGGCTCACAGGGACCCTCAGGTTGGACACTTCCCAAGAAGGTGTTTCCCTTCTATCCTCCGCTCAGTTCATCAGAAAACCACTCACATTGGGAACTGTCTACAGGGGGTTAGAGAGAGCAGCTTCTCTAGGCTTCCTTCCTCACTGCCATGGAAATCTCTGATAAACTGGAGATTTCCCAGCTCAGGCTTGTGGGTCATCCCTGCAATTAACAGGTAGGGGAGCAGTGGGTAACAGTGATTACAAAGGGACTGGCAGAAGTCACAACCGACCCATTTTCAGAGCTGGAATTTCAGAGCTGGCCGTGAGCATCCACCCTCCCTCCCTCAGCTTGGCCAGGGCATTGCCTGGCACCACCTCATCCGGGGCTGGCTCTGCCCAACTGCAGGTACCGCATCACGCTCTCCTCTTTGCCTACCTGAAGTTGTACCCAGAAGAGATGGATTTTTCTGCAAACTTGTTATCCAGCCGGCTAAAAGAATAGTGAGGATTACATTCAGAAGGGGCTTTATCAAGATCACAGTTCCATTCAATCTGAACTCCTATCACACCACCCTTAACAAGAGAGAGAGACAGTGTGAGTTTTTTAAGCTTCGTTCAATTAATCTGTCTTCAAAATTGTCTGATTCTCAGGTAGGTTTCCCCCAGGCACAAAACCTGACATTTCTGGTCACAGACACAGGCATGTACACTTTGCATCAGCTAAGTTCATGCTTATAACGCTAACCGTGTTATTCTACACCGCTACCCCTAGCTTTCCCTGTGCTGGTATCACAGGGAAGTACAACGCAGACTTCACATGACCCCAAACTAGCCTAAAAGTGCCCCAGGGCGCTGATCTTATTCATCAAGAGGCAGTTACATATATGGAAAAGTCATTCTGTAAATAGACAGAGATCAGCAGCGCAGAAGCCAGCACAAAGCCCGCATTCTTCTCACCCTGCATCTCCTGGGATGCCTCCCATGGGCTCCGTTCCCCCATCCACTACACAAACTGGGCTGCAGCCCGTTTGGCACCGCAGCCCCAGGCCTCCGTGAGAAGCCCACGCAGAAACGTGTCCGTTCACTTGGCGTGTCCCACACAGGAAGCCTCAAAGGGGCTTCTCTGAGCAGGAGGAGCCCCACTGACTTTCCAGAGTTCTTTGCATCTAAACAGTTTTAGTCATGTTAAATTAATCAAGCAGCAAATCCTGCTGGCAGAGCAATTTTGGGCAGCCCTAAATAAGTGACCTGACCACCTCTTCCACAGCACCTGCAACATTGCTTCGCCTAAACAACTGTTCCCATTCCCTGGGGTTGAAATAAATGGGATTCAGCATAGTTTTAAGAAGCAGCATCTCTCAGCTGCCCCTGAACCTGGATGGGTGGCACATTCCCAAGATATCAGTGGTTTTCCCCAGAGTTGCCCAGGGAACAGTACAGCCAGTTGGCAAAACACATGAGTCCAAGGGGCGCTCCTACCTCCAAGGCCATTTCCTGGAAGTTGCTCCCGGCCCATCTGACAATGCTTCCCAGGAGGAAGATGGGGCAATAGGGATGCTCTGTGCTGTAGCGGCAGGTTTTCAGGTAAGACGCATTGCTGGTTGCCAGCACATTCATCCTGCAGGTGAGGAACAGGGAAAAGCACCTCATCTCCCTCCTTGCCACGGTTGCCTTAGAGAGCTGCAGGGACAAGGATTCCTCCACTACCCCATGTGCTCAACAGCAAGAGCACAACAATAGGCAGGAGAAGGAGGCTGGAGTGAATCGAGGGTATTGGCTCTGCAATGAGGAGGACACAGGGACCTCTGAACACCTGCACTTACTTGGAGAACTTGAACTTGGGGAAGCGGATTGAGTTCTTGATGTAGATGGTGAAGTTCTCTGCACTGCCGAGAAGAGGTTTCCTGAAAAAGAATGACTTGTTATCTGTATTATGTTGGTACCTTGCCTAAGTGTTTAAGCTGGAATTTCCATTTCAGAAATACTAAGTTTTATCCTATGGTGCTTCTGCAGGGTGGACCCTCTGGTCAGAGCCAGACTGTGCAACTCCACAAGGCAGTCCCGACTACGCCCACCCTGCCAGCCATGCCATTTGCACCCCTTTGCCAGCAAGATGGGAACCAGGAGGTGCCAGTTGAGGGAGGGGACGGAGAGCTGGACACAGCCCTGGGACAGCCAGGCAGGCAAGCAGAGGGGAGCGGAGGACCAGAGCTGCCAGGGGCCTGTGCAGAGCTGCCTGCTGCACTGGAAGAGTTAACACGCAAACAGGCATCCAAGCGGTGGGAACAAAGAAACAGCTCTGGAGGCCATGCAAGCCAAAGCAACACAAGTCTGGAAACAGCACGGGACGGCCACATACTTGGGCTTGTATCTTTTCTCCACAGGGCACCAGGCCAATATCTCACAAGTCCCTGTGACGTTGTCCCTGTCTTTCAAACAACGGCCAGTCTTAACCCCTGCAGCAGAGATATCACAGAAAAGGTCACCAGGAACAGCCGTCTCCTCTCTGTCAGCAGGGCAAATGAAAGTCAGATGCTTTTCACTGCCACATTAAGACCTCCCCTCCCTGTTGTGAAAGGGCTTCTCAAGTGGAACAACTGCTCTCTTGTTGCTTCTCTGAGCAGCCTGGGGTGCTTTGGCCCAGCACTGTGGCTTAGCAGAGCTGTAAACAAGGCAGCAGTCTCAGTAACAGACAGCAAAAAAGAAAACCATCGTCACATTTTCCCGACTACTAGTCCAAGTTTTTCGGTGTTGTAGCCAGGCTGATGTCTTCGAAGGAACCTGCCTCTGCCAGAACCAGCAGAGGAGGAAGGATCCTCTCCTTACCATTGCCAGCCACCACTGCTTCCCCCGCGGGGCAGTCCCCATCGGCAAAGCACACGGCATCAGGAATGCTCTCACTCTGCAAAGCGAAGGAGGACAGAGGTGGGACATGTGACAGGACACTGCAGAACTATGTCAGTCCCACTGCAGCCCCCGAGAGGATTTGTGCCCAAAGCAGCTGCAGAGGTTCCCGCGGGCAGGGGCAGAGAGGGCAGGAACTGTGGAGCTGCCAGCTGAGTAAATGCAGCCACTAGAGGCCAGCCACGGCCTGAGCAACAGGCTGTGCTCTCAGCCTGGGCCTCCCCTGTGCTTGCGGCAAGACAAATTAATCAGGGCTACACAGAAATGCTCCCTGGCTGGCCAGGGTCATCCTCCCCCAGGCTCCAGCCTGGTCTGAAACAGGTAACCACAGGGGACATTTGAACATCACCTGGTTTGAAAGACTTCATGGCCTTGGCCTGAAAGGTGCTATACACCCTCCAGTGTCTGATGAAGCACGAGTGTTCGGGCCTTCCTTAGCAGGTATCCTAGAAAGTCCCTGTTAGCCTTGACTAGACTTAATCATCTCAAAGTTGTTCCCATGGCTTTTCCCACCCCTAAGCAATCCCTCTTCTGCTTTCAGCTCCACCTGGGCAGAGGTCTGGCCCTTCACTACCGTCAGCCAGACTCTGTGTGATCAGCCCCTCCAGAGATTAAGATAGCTGAACTGTCCAGGTTTTCAGTGATCTGCCCAATCTCCCATACTGAGAGATTTCCCATACTGCAGAGGAAAAGCATCTGCCTTTCATTCTCCCCATGTTCACTGCTCTGAGGGCTGTGGGGATCAAGGGGCTCAGTTCTTGCACCTACCTCAGGACACGTAGCTTGCTTCTGGTTTGGGGTCACAATCAGGTTCGTCATGACAAAGAAGACATTTTCACCCTATAAACAAAGCAAGAGGGGGAAGAGTTAGAAAATCTGACTCTGACATTTTTACCTGTTACAAGGATGCTGCAGTTCTCAGCCGAACAGTTAACACTTCCTTCTCTCCTGGTGCTTTTCAGGTTGAAATAAAACAGCGCCCCTTGTTTGGGTATTTGTGTGGGTGAGACTGTGGGTGACTGACAGTGTCACACACACAGCTGGGAAGCCCTGACACACAGGAGCGCAGGGATCTGGTTAGTCACTCAAAAAAACAGCGGAGGGCTGAGAACAAAGAGGAGTTGTGGGTGCCCCAGGTTACGGTGTTATCATCCACTCAATCATGCTGCTTCTCTGGGACAGATGTGAGCCACCTGAAACGCACGTGGAGAGCCTCATCAGGCAGCCTCAGTGTGAGCATAAGGACACAGAGCTGGCACAGGTTCTGCTTCAGAGACCGCGTTAATTTGGTGAGCAAACTGTGTGCTGGGAGCGCTGAGCTCTGCCTCGCTGGCTGCTTGGCAACCCCTTGTCCTCCTTTGCCACAAGGACAGGGTGACTGAGCAGGGCCCCGTGCGCTGCACAGCCACGGACCCAGAGGCCGGCAGGGCTGCACTGCTGCGGCCGGGGCTGCGCAGCGAGTCGGCAGGGCAGGCGCAGGGCACGGCTGCTGCGATGTCATGGGTGCGCGATAAAAAAGAGCAAAGCACGTGTAGCATGGGCTGTAGGAGATGGTGCGTTCTCCAAGGGCTGTTTGCTGCTGCTCTGCTGATCATTCTACCAAGCAACTGGGATGACTGGCCAAGACACGCAAGGAAGAGACACTTGACTGCAGTTTTGTTCCTAAAATCCTTATTTCTGGCAGAGTGCTGACTCCTTTCTGGGGCCATCCTTTCTTTGCACATTCATAGTTCCATCTCGTTCCTTTTGCAGCTTCAGCAAGAAGAGTTTCAGTAAGTGCTGACACAGTTTCTTGTCAATAACCAACTGGCAAAGTAACCACAGGAAAAACCTGAAGGTGGCTGCAGAGGCCATGAGCAGGGAGGGAGGGTAGTTTGCCACAGCACTGGGGAAGAGAGGCTGGTTCTCCCTCTTTATCATTCAGAAGTGAAACAAATGCAGAAATAAAGCGTGTGCTTTTATCACCTCCTCTGCACACCCTGCACATACAGGAAAGTGAGTCAGCAGTAATCTTGCTCACAGCACTTTGCTGCAGCTACAGAAGCACCAGGGTTCCCCACATCGTACACCAAAGGGACACGCATAGTTGAGAGAGTCAGCCCAAAAGACGGGCCCAAGGTGCTGCCCGCAGCATGAGCAGCAAGAAAGGTCCAGCTCCATTCACAAGACCAGCACTGCCACCCTGTGCGAGGCAGGGCTGCCCCGGGGCATCTTGAATCCTCACTCGTGACAGGACAATCTGCAGCATGCTGAGCCCTGCCAGCCATCTGCAAGGTTGGGTGCTCAACTGAGTGAGCACTGGGCAATAAATACACCTGATTAAGAGCAATAAATACACCTGATTAAGAGCAAACTCTGGACCCCGGCCACTCTGAGACACAACAGGAGATTCAATGTGTTTGGAGGTTTCTGCTAAACCATCAAGGAATGAATGGAGCCCAGTCCAAGGAAGCAATGAGTGAAGGATTCACCAGGTGAATCCCAGCAGTGGGGCAGGGAATCAGTCCCCAGCAGGAGGGAGGCTGTGAACTGCTAGGGCCAGGAGAGCTGCCCACCCTCCCCTCAGCCCTCACTGCCTCCTGGTCGGCTCCCTGGCTCTGTCCAGGACCCACCAGACACCCAACTCGGGCGGCTCAGAGTCCTCCCTCTGAAGTGAAATGAGAGATGTGTTGCACTTGACAGATGCAAATGGCTTAATGCACTGAGGGCAGACACTCAAACACTCCTAAAAAGCCATACAGGGTGGATCTCATGGCTGATGTGAGACAGCAGACCAGCCGCAAACAGCCCTTGGAGAACAGGGCTC